ACAGTGAACATCACTGATTCACTGTCTAATTAAATGAAATAAAACTGTTAAGAGTAATGCTATTTGCAGTCGCTCACTGTCGTAATCGCCTTACTTAATATACATATGACAGTTAGCGATTTGAAATAGTAAAAAATAAAAAACTATCATATTAATATTTTAAATCACTAATTACCATATGTATGTTACATAGAACGACTGTGGTAGTAAGCAACCGCAAATACCATTATCCATTTTTTAACTTCTTGAAAAATTAATCAACAATTCACTGTCACATAAATAAATACTTATCATTAATTATATATAGGACTAACGATAGACTCATAAGCGGCTCGAGCGAGCATACTCGTGAGTTTAATGAACGTGCCTGTAGGGCGTGCTCATGCAAGCTAGCTCAATAACAAAAATTAGTTTTTGATATCATTTGAAGATTTTTCTTAAGTCAGTAAGTTATCATTTTAACGAATTTTGATAGATAACAATCTAGGAGGACTTCTTGCACACGAATTTCAGTCTCATATTTGACAATAATTTTTTTTCAAACTCATTTTTTTCTAGATACTCATTTTTAATAATGCATTCACACAATAAAATATTTTGCTCGTAAACGTAAATTCATTTCTACTTTTTAAAACACATTCTCTTAAAAATCACCAATTAAAACATAAATTTTCCTATTTAATGGTTGTCAAATGGGAACTTTATATGGTACTGATACTTTGTACTCTCTCTCTCAGACATTAAGGGTCAACTTGCTACTTTATCAATTGATTGGGGACCAACATAGCTACTCCTCATATGTATAACGGGCTACGCGTTCATAGGTCACGGTCAATTTGACGTTCTTCTTCTGGCCACAACTACAGTTAAGAGAGTTGTACCTCATGTTTAAAGTTGTGTACTTCTGAAACTAGAAGACAAATTTCCAAACGCTGCCACGTGAACTTTAAAAAAAAAGGGATAATGCGAGTATTCTACAGGAATAGGTTGTATTCTTACAAAGAGTATGAACTTTCTCGTTTACTCATTGTCAACGCGTCTAAATGATTTCAACAATACTACACGTAAATAATGAATTGCACAGAATCTTTACAGAATTTCAAACTTCGGCCACGTGTCAGGCGCAAGGAAAGGAAATGACTGTTGGCTTGAAAAAAATATTATAATAAATTCATTAAATTACTTATATTTTTGCCTTAGTTTTCGGCCTCATACGGGATATCAAATAAAATTGAAATATTACATTCTTTTTTATTATTTTGAAGTACTCATGGTCTACTATTTTATGTCATTAACGATGCGCGAAACGGTCAATCGTAGCACATGTTACGGCACGTCAAAATAGATCGTTCAAAACTAGTATTTCGAGAATTTCAATAACAAGCTAACTTTAAAAAATCTTCGACAATTATACGCTAGTCGAATCCATAAATCTTCTATATCTTTTCGAAGCTTATTTCGAGAATTATATCGTAGACATATCGAATGATGTAAATGAATATCAAAAATAGTTAAACGTGAATCAAACGTGTATGTCAAAAAGAGACGTATAACTCTTTTTTTTTTTTTTTTAGAATTAATCATTTTATTAAAATTTTTTATGTGGTTTGACGAAAAAAATTGACATAAAAACTCCTAATAAAATTTTTATTATTTTATATGGATTATAAATTGTTATACTACTTTTTCATCTTGATTTTTTTTTATTCGAAAAATTTATATATATATGTAAACGATTATTTTTAATAATTAAGCTACACATACATAACATGCTTCCTAATAATTTTTTTTTTTTATGTAAGTAAATTTTTAATAATTTCCTAAATGATCCACATTTTACATTAATGTAAAAAATTTGACATTAATGTTTAAAGAGATGTCATTTAAAAATTTTAAAAGTTTATTAGGAAACTTTTTAAGTGACATAAAAAAATTTATTAGATTATTTAAAATAATTGGAGTTAAAATAATTGATTTTTTGGTAGAAAAATTATTTTGGTGTACTAAAATTAATTTTTAAATAAGTCGAGGTAAAATAAGTCGAGAATTGAACAACCTATTTTGGTATAAAATAAACTAATATAAAATGATTATTTTTTTAAAAAAAATAATTCGAGTTATACGTCTTTTTTTACACTCACGTTTGACGTTCGTTTAACTATTTTTGATATTCATTTAGATCATTCGATATGTCTATGATATAGTTCTCGAAATGAGCTTCGAGAAGATATAGAAGATTTATGGATTCGATTAGAGTACAATCGTCGAAATTTTTTTAAAGTTAGCTTGTTATCGAAATTCTCGAAATATTAATTTGGAACGGCCTACTTTGACGCGCCGTAACATGTGTTACGATTGGCCATTTCGCGCACCGTTAATGACATAAAATAGTAGGCCATAAGTACTTCAAAATAATATTAAGAATGTAATATTTCGACTTTATTTGATATCCCGTATGAGGCCGAAAACTAAGGCAAAAATACAAGTAATTTAATGAATTTTTTATAATATTTTTTTCAAGCCAACTGTCATTCCCTTTCCTTGCGCCTGACACGTCGCCGAAGTTTGAAATTTTGTAAAGATTCTGTGCAATTCATTCTATACGTCTAGCATTGTTGAAATGATTTCATGGATCGATGCTTAGGGTTCGTTTAGTATTATTTTTGAAAATTCAAAAGAAGGTTACGAGATTCAAATATTATTTTTAGACCCGTTTGATTAATTTTATGAAAGGCCACTTCTAGTTAGAAGAGCTTTAAAATTTCTTTTATCCAATATAACTTTCTTTGAAAGTGTTTCTGAAATATAAATTTCTTTTAAAAATTATCTTTCAAAAAAATTAAAGTAACTTTTTCAAAAATTGTTATATAGGACGGAAAAATTATGTCAAATGAGCGCTTAATATATATGAAATCATTACAACTGATTGAATTTTTACTAGAACCACGAAATTAAAAGTGAACCGAAAATTATGAACTCAAATAAACTAAAATCAAGAAAAAGAACCCAAAGTTGAAATGTAAAGAGAGTGACAAATCAACTTTCTTTTCTTTTTCTTTTTCTTTTTTTTTAAATCCATATTTTGATGAAAGAAAAATGCAATTTTTGAAAAATTAATTTTAAACTCCTAATTTGTCATTTCATTTTAAAAGTTACTTCTGTTCTTATATAAAGTAGGAAAGGGTTCTAACTTGTACACCTAGCACGATCCGGTAGGAAAATAATTGGACATTTTGATCAATACCTTCTTTTTGTGTACGGAATTCTTTTATTGCTAATTACTTTTACTTTTTTATAAAATTTTACACTTCGTCAACACTCTTCTCTTCATTTTATTGGAAAAGATTATTTGTAATTTGGTCACTAATGTATAAAACATAAATTAGATTGCATCTAATTTCTATTACATTTCAAATAAAATAATTTTTACCTTTTTCTTATATATATTAAAAAAAATGGAAAAACCCTTGACATACATTAAGCTCCTGTTTGTAGGGATTAAAATAACATTTTTAGTAGATTTTAATCGAAATTTATGAAATGTATAGTTGAAAAAATGCGACTCTTAACATGTGTGGTTGAAATAAATTGTTAACTTTGACTTAAATTAAAATCTAGATTTTAATCAATACCAAATAAGGTCTAAGAAGAGTTTCTTGGGAAAAACGAGTTTTAGAATAGTGATTTTTTAAAGTTAGGAAAAATTTTTGAATTTACATTCAAAATATTATATTGTGCAAATGCATGGTTAAAATGAGTTGGGAGAAAAAAAAATAATAATAGTTACAAGAAAAAAGTTAACAAACGGGCAAAAATTCAAGACATGATATGATAAGATCTCATTGGATAAATCCGTAAATAAGAAACATGTTCATCATTCCAAACAAAGAAAAAAAAATACAATAAAAATGCTATCAGTGTGTTGTTAAAGGTCAAAATTAGTAGTAGTATTTTACCCAACCAAGTCCATAGGAAAAAGAATGACAAGTTGGATATCACTTCATAGCATGAAGAAGCATGTTTACACCTACATTTGCAGCTAAAAGCCACACATAACACAGGTAAGCTTAAATACAACTAGAGTCGCCCAAAAGTAATTCACGCATGTCGTTCGGGGTTAGAAAAGTTGTTCCACCGATGATTAATTCAATATCGGGCCTGCCGTTCTCGATCAATGCCTCCTGAGCTTCCCGTACCTGACAAAACATCAATAATAGTTATCGATCATCATTTTGCAAATGAAGAACCAAAAATCAAGCATAAAATTGGGTTTAGCCTACAAACCTCAAGACCATTGATGCCTCCTATAACAAAGACCAGAATAACATTCTGGTCTGCAAGACTCCGTTTAGCCTGCAGAATCCAGACGAAAAATTTAGCTTACTTCGGAACTTTTTGAGAAAAATGAAGTGATACTCGGCTAAATGGAATTACCTGTCCAATGCCAAACCGGCCGAACCCACTTTTAAAAAGTCGTCCAACAGTTGAGGAATGGTACTCTAAGCCAGGTACGTCAAGCTTGCTCAATACCCTTGTTAGAAGTTTACTAAGCAATGTTTTACTTGAATATGTATCATAGTTGAACGATATCCCCTCTCTAAGAGGTGTATTTCCCTTTGAGCTGGATAACTTGTGGAGGAATTTGAAAAGATTGTCCACCCTATCTCGAAGCTCTAGCTTCAGCTGCACATCACTAAATGCTTGCTCTTTGTTTGTATCTTTATCAGCATCTTCATCACCCCAACTGTCCCACTGATCATCGTCAAAATCAGCATCATCCAACTGATTAGAAGGACCTTCCTTTTTCTCATCCGATTTCATCTTGTTTAAATTGGATTCAAGCTCTTCGGACAAACCTCGGAGGAATTTTAGTTTTGCCATGGCTGGGTTCTCAAGAACCGCATCTACAATAGCTTCTTTCATGAAATGCTCCTCTTGCCAAGAAAAAGGACCACCAGAACCAGAAGTTGGGAAATTTTCACCAGCCAATATATATCCAATAATGGTCAGAAGCAGCGCATCTTGAAGAGTAACTAATCCTTGGGAGGCCTCCGTTTTGTTGTGCTTCTGTGCTTGAGGACCCACAAAAGCACTCTTATTAATGAGGTCACTAATTTGAGCAGCAAGGCTTTGGCTTGTGTCTCCAGCATTTACATGCAGTATCTTTTCTGCGCTACTAAATGCATCCCAACTAGCAGTATGTTGTTCATCTAAAGCATGTATTGTGGCTGCAGCTAGCTGAACGATTCCTTTATTTTTCACTAAAGATAACCGCCGTTTAGCCAGTGGCTTAACCAGATTTTGCAATTCTAAATTTGACGGAAAACCAGGATGAATTTTCGTATCCAGAGATATTTTTTCTTGACTTAAGCTTTCTTGCAGCCATTTTTTTATCAAAATTGACCCATCCTTTGTCCTCCGCTGAAGTATTGCTTCGAGATATGGTGTTCCATCAAATTTTTCTGCAGAAACAAAAGATCCATGGAGTATCTCACTCTCAGAATGTTGCAAAGAATTTTCATCTTTCAGTCTATCACTGAATTTCACCAACTCAACAACTTTAGTATCCAAGGCAGTAGTATTCCACCCATGCAAAAATGCCTGTATACTTTCTAAAAGCTGGAAATTACTGTTTTTGGACTCTTCTTCCCTGACAATATTTTCTAGTGGAATCTGAACATCAAGAGGAGCACGCTCTAGTTTAACAGGGCCCTTTATAAGTTGGCTTTGGGAGGCTCTCACATGATTTAAAGATTTTGTCCGTTGTCTACGAGGCAGAGATGAGAAGATGCGATCCACCAGTGAGTCCCCATGACAGCAAGGAGTAAGCAGATCAAGTGAGCGGTCAATTAGTAAAAGCCCAGCTGATCGTTTACGACGACCAACATCATAAAGACTAGACATGTCAGTCAAAAGTTTTCCTACAGTTTTCGAAAAATCGCCGAGAGAAAATATTTCAAGTTTCAGATCCATCTGCATATTTAGATAAATAAGAGCATCAAGAAGAATGAAATCCAGCATATTGTGATACAGACTGAACTAGAGTATAGGGTATAATGAAAATAACGTTATTGACGAGAACTCAAAATAGCCGACAGGTTTTCAGTGATGAAAGAAATTGTTTTCAGCAAGAGTGCTCGACGTCTCTGATTGTGAATTTCATTCGAAGTTCAGAAGGTAAGGAACTAGCCATTTAAGACCCAAAAATATGGACAAATTCAACACACATTTTAGTACAAATGAAGTACCACAAATATTATCCAAAAAAAAAAAAAAAGAGAGATCATTCATTCTTTTGCCTCCTTCATGGTTTGTTTTACGTCATACAATTCTGAATCGATTTATCATGTTATGCTGAAATGTGAGTTGCCCTCAAGATGTCAGGGCAACCTCTTATTGGAAGATGAAATTGACAGGGTGATGCCTAGAACCTGTTTTTTCATGATGTCTCAGTATTAAAGTTCCTTTGGTTTTTATTTGGAAGTCCAATATCTTAGCTTCTTCAGGTTCTATGGCTACAAAGGAATTTTAAAATCTTTGAGAGGGTGACCATGGAACCTGAGTTTCAATGAATTGGATAGTGTAGTGGACTTGGGTATCTACTGATTAAGAGTTTCGGGCTATCCAATTTACCTACATTTAGGGAACTTGTGTAATATGGTATAGATTCCTGCATTTAGTATTTAGGCAAAATCTTTCCCTCTTGTAATTTTCATAATTTCCAATTGAAATTCCAAGTAAAAAACAACATAACTTACAGGCTTGTGGAATTACTAATGCTCATCCTCTTAACTTGTATATTTCCTAATTAACATGCTTGGGTCTTGAAAGCTTCCCTTGTATATCATACAGTCATTCTCTGAATTTTACATGTATTAGCATTAACAGGATTATCTTTCATATACGAATAATGAAGTTCGGATGAAAAAACTCCTAAAAGTCAGTTTTTATAAGAAGAACCAACTGGTTTACCAAATAAATTTGCAAAACCGAGAACAATCTTTAAAGAAATGGGTTCAGACAGGTGAATTCTAAAATGATGAAAGCTTTATTACCTTCAAGGCCAAATCATAAATAAATTGAGCAGTAAGGGTTGCTCCAGGAGAAATGTCATCAGCATCGGTAGGTGTCCCTGTACTTAATGGAGGCAAGCCATAGCTTATGGAATTCTCATGCTCAGTAGATAAGCAGGCTTCAGCAACTGATCCTTCTGAAGGTAAGACAAAGACTCGTGGGGACAAAGGACATAGAATCAAAGGGAAGTGAAGCACAAAAACAATCAACTTTTGTCCTGCATCTTCTGACTGAACAATTGAATCATCTTTGCATGACACTCTTGCATCTGAATTGTCATCCAAGGCAGAAACATCATCTTCAATTGACGATAGTTGTGACCAGCCTTCTTCTTCAGGAACAATACTTTCCGTGAATTCAGTGCTGCCTGGCTCTCTGGAATTCGTCGGGCATTTCTTAGCATGCTCCTCATAATCTTGAAGGAGCAAAGATTTATATTCACGAAATGCATCAAGGCCTAGAGGAGAATCAGGATATGCTGAGTGAGCCACCTGCATTTGTTAAGATGGTGAATTCATTGTCAAAATTAGATAAGCAAAGAGAGTGATAAAAGGTTGCATAATCTTTTGAAGATTAAAACGAAATTATCAAGCAAAGGAAAGCTGTATGAAGATGAAAGACATGGTGTCCTCAACTACATATTATTAAAGGAATCCAGGAATATCACAATAAATGTCGTCCAGAGATTATGAAATCCATTAAAGCTGGACAACCAAAATAACCAGCTGCCTTAGCCCACAAGGAAGAAAAGAATACATCACATTCACATAAGCAATGAAAGGCCAATTTTTTAACCTGAGACAGTTTTTCACTCCTCCCCTATCCAAGTAGACCAAAAAGTCATAGCTGGACAACCAAAATAACCAGCTGCCTTTATAATAACAGCATCCGAATTTTCGGGTCTAATTATCAAAATTGAAAATTTAGGGGCTCATTTGAGGGTTAATCCACCTTTGAGGACCTTGTAGCAGCGCTAATTCCCACATACTTTTGATTAAATTCTTGATCAAACCTCACTAGAAAATTCTTGATTTATGCTTGATTGATCAAACATAAGGTAATATGTAGTTTGAATGCATAAATGTAAGAATGATGGAGAGATTCTTGCTCATTTCACAAATTTCAAGGGGCAAATTCCACCATCATGAATTTTTCCTTAAAGATGCATGCTTAATCTTGTCCTATTTAAACCCCTCACTCACATTAACATGCTACTACTCACTAGTATATTTTTTTTTTGTCCAAATAATACACACATACACATTCATAAGCCAAGGTGGAAACTGTAGAGGAATCAAGTCTCTATTACTCTTTCTTTCAAACTTCACTCTAAGTACGCTGCCTATGTTGAATTATTATTATGTTATGAATTTCAAGAAAATTATTATGGGTCTCATATGCTATGATATGATTATGATTATGTTAAGGGGACCGGAATTTAGTAGCGCTACATATAAGAATTCTTATACCACATAAGAATTCTTACCACCTATGTTCGGTAAAATTCTTATATATCCATTATGCTGATTATGATTATTATGCTCTTTTAAGTTATACACAATAATAATTCATAGCGTACTTATTGAGATTTTATAAATCTCACTCTATGATAATTCCCCCTTTCAAGCAACTGATGGTTCCAGGCAGTCAATGTGCAGATGGCAATGAGGCTAGGATTAATAAATTGCGTTGTGTTTAAAAAACAACTTTGAATTTAAAATTTAATTGTTATGTTGGAATTATTTTCTTTTTTCATTTTTTGCAGCTACATGATAAAACCAAAATTTATTTACTTATTGAAGAAAAATAAAAAATTTATTTCATGTTCTTATGAAAGAATTAAGTTTCATTTAGTGACTCTCGAATAGTCAAGGATTCGAGGCGTCACAGCCTTAGCCCACAAGGAAGAAAAGAATACATCACATTCACATAAGCAATGAAAGGCCAATTTTTTAACCTGAGACAGTTTTTCATTCCTCCCCTATCCAAGTAGACCAAAAAGTCATCATAGAAGCCTTCCACAAATCTCTACCATGATGAGCACCTACAGATCCACACAATTTTATAAGCTGAAACTCAGACAACGTTTCTATTTTTCTTTTTACTTTGTGGAATAAAAATGTGGTAGGAAGCAATGACGAGAGGAACATCAAATTGGTAAGTACATTAAACCTTCAAAAATGTCCCTCAAAATTGTATTTCACTCGGCCTTATTATCCTGAAAAAGGAAAATAAGCAGATGGTACTGACATTGTGCCAGTGTAAATAAACTGTTCTACAGATGGGAACAAATATTCTCTTGAAAGAATAGAAGATGCTGATGCTTTATCTTATAAGTAAAAATTTTACGGGAACCTTCCCCAAAAGAAGTTCGATAGAGGCATTTTTGTGTTAAAAAGCATATATTATCACAGAGAACCAAAAGTATCACACTTCTATCGGTAAAGATCAGTGGTGAATCTATGTTTTTATCATCTTTATTACTCGTTGGAAAGGTTTAATCAGTGTCCCGTAAGTACTAATGTCTTTTGTAGGTATAGTAAATCTAGAAAAGGCCAAATGTAACACAAAAGACCAAGTTGAACTTCAAGCAAAAAGCAATACTGCGGTATAATGCAGTTTGTGTGAAGCCACCCTCGCTCATTGCCAAGAAGACAGATAAATATTTAAGCATCATAAGGAAGCTTTGGTTAAAATAAGAATAAAGGAAGCTAAATATTTTTCAAGTATCAATGAACAGTCTCCTTGGACTTGAGAGGCTTTGTAGCATGAAACCACTTGATTGTATGGAATTTCAAGAATTCAAATCATGTTGGAAAGAAAATATCTTAAGTCCTTAAGCATGAGTTATTTTGTTCATCCCAAAAGCAGAGGCCAAGGCTTGGTAACCAAGCAGAATTGAGCCCCCATAAAAGGATCACTATCTTTCCCTTTCCAATCACCACCCTCTCATAGTATCATATGAAGCGAAGTACCCGAAATAAATTCAATGGGTTGCCCGAGAAAAAGAAATAATGTCAATCACTGGGAAGATGCAAAATAGTAGCTTATGTTGGTTAGTTAAGTGAAACTGCTTAAAACAGTTTATCATCTTTCTATATATGTTGCAAAGATTGTTTTCTGTCCACGTGTCTTTACTCTCAACTAACCCTTAGAAAGATCCAATGAAACTACCACATTATAAAGCATACAACATAACCATTCACTAAAGTATCGTGATGCCTATATTATCAAGTGTTATTTCATACAGGTTCTAAAATCATCTGGATATACTCATTTGCTTGTCGAGTCTCTATAGACGCTTTCATTTAAAAAATAATCTCCAAGCAGACAACATGATTTCAGATGGTGTTGGTGAGTAATAAGCCACCATCACAATATGTGAAATGATTAAATACGGACCCAAAATCAGCAAACCAAGAGCTACTATTTTCAAGGTTATATGCAGAAAGACTGACGGAAAGAGGACAAATTTCCCTTGCACAATATTCTAATTATTTATTGACATCAAATCATCATCAAGAATTTGCACATTTCCAGCTCAGGATAAAAATCTTAATTTCACTAAAGTGTGTTCTTTCTATCTTTCATGCTAGAAATTTTCTTTCAGGTCCTTATAGGTGGTAACAAAATTAGCTTCTTACTGAGGTCCATTGCACAAACTGGACAAGCCTTTTGATTCAATATGTTGAGTGGCATAAGGTTCAACATTTAATAAAGAGTACTTGGAAAACTTAGGTTGTGCTATGAAACACAATTCTAGCACTATATACTAATTAATCCAAGGGTAGCACATAATCTTAGTCTAAAGAAAATCAAAAAATTCAAAAGACTAGAAATCAACTAAAACAAGGTTTCTGAGGTTGTAACTCAAGCAAATGAAACCTGCATAGTTATTTTATCATCTGTATCAAGAAAGCAAAGTATATAAGACATGAAAGAGTCACATAAGAAGGAAAATTGAAAATATAAAGAAACAAAAATCCCAGTAGAAACCAGACGAATACCTCTGAAATAGATGTAAATATAACACAGTGGCGAACAGTTTGAAGTTTGCTCAGGCAGCGTAAAATATATCGATGCGCGTCACTCAGAAGGCACGATGTAATGACCACAACCCTCCTCGCAGGATCAAAAGTTGTGTTCCAGTCAACAACCTAGCGAAAAGATGGCAATGAGAGACATGTCTAACAAGTAAGAAATAGGCACCTAGCACACAATAGATACATCATATGTAACTGTATCATCATCAATAACATACAAGAACTTCTTTACATTGACCAAAAACTCCCCCACCCCTAAATTTTCTTTACACTGAATGGCACAGACAAAAGATTACGTTTCCCTGAGAAAAGTGTCCTAATCCTCCTCGCAGGATCAAAAGTTGTGTTCCAGTCAACAACCTAGCAAAAAGATGGCAATGAGAGACATGTCTTAACAAGTAAGAAATAATCACCTAGCACACAAGAGGTCCATCATTATTAACTGCATCGTCATCAATAATGTATAAGAACTTCTTGAAATTGACCCAACTCCCATTTCCCAGTCCCTGAACAAATGTAGCAACCCAGTGACCAGGTGCAGACCTAAATTTTGCAACATTATGGGAGAGACGCTGACATATCAAACATGACTATGAGGGCAACCTTCAAGATAGACAGAAAACTATTTTCTCAAAATAATGTTAATCTACACAGATTTATCTAGAAAGAATACCCTACACTAACACAGGTCACTCAACCCAATGGAAAGCATGGTATTACTAATGAGGATTCCCTATGATTTAGAAAACTGTTGTATAATCTTTGAACCATGAAGATCCGAAGGAACAGTGTGGAGTCCTTGAAACAAATAGTTTACGAAAATGTAAATTAATATAGCAAGAAAATAGAGATTCTTACCCCATCAAGAATGGACATATTCTCCAAGCTGCAAACCGCACGAGCACCGAGCTCCAGAAACAAAGGGAATGCCCCAATAAACTGAAAACTCTCAGTACTTCCAGCATCTAAGTAAATAATGGCATCTTTAATATCATCTGATATCTGAAGAACCAAAAAATTAGAGACGAATTGCAAACAAATCCATACAGTTTCCCCTAAATCACTTTAACAAATAAGAGTATGGTTCAGTGATAATTTCTTCCTCAAATTTCGCGAAAATTTTGAGCAAACAGACAAATCAATTTCATTTAAAAGGTAAAGTACAAATTATGTAGTGAAAAGTAGATAAAATCTTACTTGTCTGATGGAATCGAGGCAACATTTGATCACATCAACCGTGCCCATGTTTTTCACTGGGTTCAATAATGACAAAAGATCTAACTCATTATGGACACAAAGATATCAAGTAATTGATTAATCGTTAAATTACATGCAGAATTTTAATGATCTCAGAAGACAAATCGAAATTACATTGACGGGCATGAATCTAGGGTTCTATGAATTAACACTAAGCAATTCGTGAAAGTTGCTGACAATCAAGAAAGGGAACCCACAATTGAATTGTAAATTGTAAAGAGAAAAACGGAACTAGATGCTTACTCAAATAGAAATAAGCAAAGAGAGGATTAATAAAAAATTCACCTAATTGAGCATTGACGGCGTAGCGCCGAGTCTCCGCTGTCCAATCAACAAATAAGAGCTGATTTTTCAGCCCTTGTTAATCACTCAATACATGAAATTTTGCATCTACAATTCATTCATTGTCAGATCAAAATTAACTAAAAATTTGAACCTTTGAGAATTAAAACCTAGAAACGAAAAATAGAGATGAATTAACAGATAAAGATTAAGATCTGCTGGGAAAAAAACGTATATTAGTCAAGATTAATTGAAAATGAAATGAAATAAAACAAAGAGTGAAAATTCAGGAAGAAACGGAGACGAATGGTGGCCTAATTGGATACGGTTAACAGGTTAAAATAGAAAGCAATTGATCTCAAAGGCAACCTTAGGTGCTTGCTGTTGCCTAGCTGTCTACTAAATGAGCCTTCAATGTCCGCCCGGCCAAAAGAATGAGGCCTCTTTTTTTTTTTATATCCAGGAATTCCAATTTAAACTAAATTAAATCCTGAATCCCCCAAAATTCTTATCCCTAAAATCTTGGAGGGGGTAAATCGCGGGTTATGTCTCAATTGGATCACGGGTTCCCCCCATCGCCTGTACACTTCTGCGCACAAGAGATCTTCCTCCAAAGTGATTGCTCCATACCAAATAAATTTGGCCGCAGATTTCCACCAAAATTCGAACCTCCACCGTACCGCTGGAAGCAAAACAAATGTTGATTGATCCACAAGTTAAGCTGTGCCCCGGGGGGCAAGAATGAGGCTTTTTTGCTTGGTCAATAGGTTGTCAGGCAGCTCGAGAAGAAGCCTTTCCTTTATTTTTATTTATTTTATTTTATTTTTGATACCCAGGTGTCCCATCTTAGCCAGATTAAATCCTCCTTTATTTCTATCGGAGGATCAAGCTGGCAAGCAAGTAATACAGGATGGATTTGTCCAGGGTCTGAAAAGACTTAGCGGCAAAAACCCGCCCAAGACTAATAGACAGGACTCGACCTGACCTGACCTGACTCAACTTGGATAATTTTTCAAAAGCATCCCGATTTTAAATCAGTTATTGTGTAACTCAATTTGAATTGGGTCGAGTGAATCAAACCACGTTTAATAATTAATATTTATACTTTTATTGTTTGCGAATTCGAGATTTTTTCAAGCGTGTATAGCACAAAATGTTCTTACCTTTCAATATTATTGTGCAAAACATCTATATCTTTCATTTTTTGCATTTTTACCTCAATTTCCACATTTCATTGCTCAAAAGGTCTTTTTTCATCCATTTTATCAATAAAAAGACAAATTTACCCCCGTTCAAATAAAACAAAAAGAGAGGGATAAAAAAATAAAGAGCTATTTGTAACTATAATCCCGAATTTTTGAAAAATTACAAATCCATTGCAAATATATACTTAAACTTTAGCTATCGACTTTATCTACAACTCCTTCGCCACCGTCGACACTCCTCCAATCAACCTCACTAATGACACCCGCCTTGAACCACCATTTATCTGCCTCACCAATGATTCCAATTAGTTCTCTCCCAGTCATGCATTTAAACTTACTTGTATGTAATTTTTTAATCAATAATCAATCAAGAAAATCCCAATTGATCAATTTTTTTTAATTTTTTTTTTTTTTTGACTTTTATGTTCTAGAAAAATTAGGAAATTTCTTTTTACCTAAAAGTTATGCTTCAAGAAGATGGTAGGCCAAGATAAGTTGATCCGTAGGATTAAGTGGGGTCCCATTCGTTGATAGCATCTGAGTGTTTATTATACTCTACAAAATGGACTCTAGAATCACAAAGAGAGTCCCTCCAGTGGTAGAGATGACCATCGGGCCTCAGCCGTGTTTACCCATGTCCATCAAAAGGAGAAGTGGCTTCTGTAAAGGCATTCAAAAAAGAAGCAACAGAATCTCAAACACTTCTTCGAATACCAAACAAAACAGAGGATGAAGCTTTTTTTTTTTTGTAGCGATCGGAAAAAAAAATATTTTGTTTCGTTCTAAAATAAAATTATAGAACTCAAATATAATTTGGGTTATATTATTACGTCGCTATGCCACTTCCTTAAGAGTTCAAATTAAAGTTTTGGTCATGATAGTAAAGTTTCGCGTACTTGTTTTTAAAAAATTTTCTAAGGTGTCGAAATCTCTTTAGACGACAAATTTTATTTGTTACTTTGTTTTGACGACACACATTTTATTGTATATCTATTAAATCTTAGATTAGAAAACATATTGTACAGTGCATTAACCATCCAAACTTACCTTATTATTTAAACCCCATTTTTGATTAGCCATTAAAATAAAAAAAAAAACTGTCATTTGATTTTTGGGATGATAACTTACACATCCCTATCCATTTCCATTTGGAAGTAAACTTTTTAAAATTTAAACCACCCCCACTTCCTCAAGTGTAACCTCCAATTTTAAATACAACTCCCACCACCATTGCAATTGAAAATTTGTAACTCCCATTTTAAATTCTACACGGCCACACCATGAGAAAAAAAATTACAGAAACATGTCCCTTTTTAGTTTTACAAGCCATATTGTATTGTGAAAGCCAAATTTCACCTCCTTTAACCGCATAAAATTATTTTACCCTTCTTCCCTAGACATAGAGCATCTTATATCTGAAAAATTTTATTTGAAGAAAAGGCAAGGAAGTACGCTGCACTGAGTATTATTTATAGCACTTATCCCTACAAATAATTTTACAGGTTAAGATCGAGGCATGACAGTGGTTGGCATAATGGCAAGTGTTCGGCGATCTCTAATGCTTCAAATTCCTAGTAAATATTTCCATTTATGTAAACATTTTATGGATACTTAGATGACACTTTTTAGAAATGTTTTAATGTTTATTTTTTTTAGTTTCATGGACGATTCATGTTAACTAGAAATTAGAGGTGTTGCATTGAATATGTATGAAGTTTAAATTTATGCGGGGTTAAATTTCAGATTTTGTCCTCCTATTTGAAAATGGTATAACTTGGGCTACGGTGCATGTTTTTTAAGTGAAATCAGTGGGGTTTGAAAGGTCTGTGAGCCTTCTAATATTGGCCTTTGGAATTTCTCAAAAATATTTTCTAAAGGAAAAGTTATGCCCGTTTTAGTAAACTGTGTCGTGTCGAATCAGAGATTCCTGTCCAGCATATCCAAGTAATATTTTCATGCTTCAAACGTTATCATCGAAACCCCAAATTTTTATATGTGGTACATATATGAATGCTTTAGTCCTTGTAAAAATTTCATAAATTTTAATGGACATTTGCTAGGCCAAATATATTTTTCTTCCGCTGTTGTTAAATCTGTAATTGTCGAATTGTCTTCAAATCTTTTACAAAATCAAATTTTGCTACATTTGCCTAAGTTTATATAGATAACTACCTTCAATTATATTTTTATATATATTTAAAAAAATATTGGATTTATAAAATTCTTTGGCTAGCGTCAAAGGGGTTAAGCCAAAGAAGGAAACGAATATTTTTTTAACGCTTCGGGTTCCGAGAATTTTGAAACAACTGAAATTTGGGGATGTAAATTGGAGAGAATCAAGGAGACATGGTGGACGATAGAAGAAAACGAGGCATCAAAGGAAAAGCATGCTAATATTCGTTGTGAAAAAACTCACAATAACTTGGTCCTTGTTTGAATCATTGGTGAGGTGGATGAATGGTTGTTGAAGGCGGGCATCGTTGGTGAGGTTGAGTGGAGGAGTGGCAACGATGGCAAAGGAGTTGTAGAGGAAGTCGATAGCTGATGTTTAAGTATATATTTGTGACTGATTTGTAATTTTTCGAAAATTTGGGATTATAGTTGCAATTAGTTCTTTATCTTTCTATTCTTTTTTTTATTTTTAACGGAGGTAAAATCGACTTTTTATTGAAAAAAAGAACGAAAAGGACCTTCTGAGCAATGAAAAGTAGAAATAATGCTAAATATGCCAAAACAATAAAAGTAGGGACATTTTGCACAATAACGTTGAAAGCTATGGACATTTTGTGCTATTTACCCATTTGCTCAAATGTCATATACTTTTATGGTTTGCAAACTCAGGATTTGCACAGTATCACATATCAAGTTTGTTGTGCAGATCTTGAATTTTCTCGACTGCCTAACTTCAACCTCGAGATTTGCACAACAAACTTTATATTTGCCTAAAATACTCGACTTTTGTATAGTTAACTCGAGATTTACACGGGAAACTAAGATTTTCATAGCAAACTCAAAATTTAACATGCTAACTCTCCATATATCTACAAAATTCGATCTTTATTTTTTTAATCAATTTGGGCTCAAAATCAAAAGATAATAATACAAATCAAATTTTCCAAACCGGATTGATTTGAGTTAATTTGACTTCTGAAGCAAGATTGGGTCGAATTAGACCTCAATTCACCCAAATCGATTTAGACAATTTCGATGTTGGGTTGGGTATTTTGGACCCAACCCAATCCTAGTCTGAACCTAACCTAGATGAATAGTTATTTTTCTTTTCTTTTCTTTTCTTTTAGTGACATTGTCTTTTTATAAAAAATGATAACATATTTTTAAATGGAAACAATCTTTGAGGACTAGTTGTGCTTTAATTTTAAGATATATTTGTCGACTTTGCTTTATCTGGTTAGTCAAGTATCAACTTGCTTCTTTATCCAAATGTTGGGACTAAAAATACAATCTCGTATGCGTTAATGGACTCTATGCAAATCATTACTACTGCTATGTGGTTCAAAAAATGAACTATAATTGACAATCGAGTGAAAACGACTCCCCCTATGTCTGGTGACTTTTGCTATAGTAGGAAGACTGTTGCTATGCAAGCCGGCTACCACCATGCGCAGCCTGATTACTATTGCACTAAACCAACTATTATTATCCAAACTGCCCGAACATTTTTGGAACCAATGAAAACCTGTTTTCACAATTATCATTAAACCCGCTATCCAATTTATAGGTGGAAGGCAACCACTTAACAAGTGGGTGAAAATCGTCTGGAAAGTGGGCAGGCTGTATTGGACACGTGGATGACAACTGCCTAGTAGTTATATGGTGCCATACACCTATAAATACATCATAGGCATGCCAGGTATAAGGATGATTTTCTTTCCAAAAAATATTTTCTTCCCAAAAAAATATTTTCTTCTGTTATTTGTCACAATTCTTTAAATTTTTCATCTACAAACAATTACTAATTCTCATGCTGGAGGTAAAACGGAAAAGAAGCCCCAGCCTCTTTTTTGCAGGATTACCAAAGAAGTAAAGGCACCACTTTCCCTCCCCAGGAAGATACGAAGTTGTATCTAAACTATTTCATTGGCACTATCTATGGAAAACATCACTGAGCATAAAAGTCATGTCAAGAAGATAAACTAGGAGCGATATGCATTTGGTTGGAAATACTACAGAGTCGGAGTCTGTCGCCAGGGGTCAAGACCTGCAGGCGTAACCTCAATATGTAACGCAGAGCCAATTTAGCCTTCTGGAGACCCAGTTAGCCGCTATGATGATTCTCTTGCAAAGTCAGACATAGAGAATAGTCAATCCATCCCACAATCCACCAGAAATTCCATGGCAAGATACACGAGGACAATCATCCCAGGAGAACCACGCAATTGCCTTACCAATTATTCAACAAACGATTGCCAACCAAAGGTCCCATGAAGTCATACATCTGCAGGTCTCGTGTCCTATGATAGACCTGGATCGTGGGATGGAAGAAAATAATGGCCCAGGGATTGACGACACATTGTCAAAGAAGAAGGATAAGCGTCGACAGATAGTCTTGAGGAAGACCCTTTTTCCTTCAGAAATCACGGTAATCTCTCTACCAAAAGGTTTCAAATAGCCGATGATAGAAGAGTTTGGTGGATTCATAGATCCACTTGATCACTTATGGACTTTTGTTGATTTGATGAGATTGTATGCATCCCCATAAATCGTGATGTGTTGATCCTTTCCCCCTACGCTAAGAAGAGAGGCAAGAGATTAGGTGGCTACTTTGGCGTCCCGCTCTATCAAAACCTTTGATAAGCTTTCCAGAAGCTTTGTATCATATTTCCTGAGTAGCAAGAAGAAAAGAAAGACTGCCATAGGACTGATGTAGGTTGTTCAGGATAAGGATGAGCCCTTGCAGGGTCATTTGACTAGATTTAGTCGGACTACACTAGGTATAAAAGATCTTCAAATGTTGACACAGTGATGAACGGGACACGGAATCGAGCTTTTAAGATGTCACTTTCGAAAAACCCCGAGGAGTTAATGCATGATTTATTGAAAAGGGAGATAAATATGTGGACTCTAAGAAAGCAAAGAAGGTCACAAGAAACCTTCGAGAAGGGTGGGAACTAGAAACTCTCAAGCGAAAATCAAATGATGAGAGAAAATCTGCTGATAAAAAACAAGTCAAAAAATGAGCATATGAACAAAGGGTATGCACAAGATTGATCAATCAAGCAAAGACGAGAGGATGTTAAGACTTTCACTCCTTTAAATACTCCGAAGGCTAAGGTACTGATGGAAATTCGAGACATGAAAGAGCTTGACTGATCGAAACCACTGGCAGCGTCCACTAACAAGAGAGACAAGAGCGGGTATTGTTACGTCCGTAGGGACCATAGGCATGACACGAATGAATGTATCCATTTGAAAGACGAGATCGAATGCCTCTTGAAATGGGGGCTTTTGACTATGTATGTGTAGAATGATCGCAGAAAGTTGAAGATCGCCCACCACCTACGGTCGATGTAATAAATGTGATTACTAAATGGATCGCAGCAGGTGGGGATTCAAATTTAGCTAAAAGAGTTATTCTTGCACTATTGGGGTTTGCTCCATTCAGAAAAAGGCGAGGCTCCATCAAAATATAATGAAGAAGATTTGATTGGCGAGGCAACACCCCACGATGATGCTTGGTGATCGCCAGTGACATAGCGGATTTTAACGTCAAAATGGTGCTGATCGATGGTGGTAGTGCGAAAAATGTTCTCACTTGGAAAGCATTTGTGGGATTGAAAATTTTCCCTGAAAATTTGAAAGTTGTTTACACCCTCCCCTCCAAGGATTCGGAGAGGCCACTGTTATATCAGAAGGAACTGTGGAACGTTTGGTGACATTGGGCACTTATTCTACAAGCATGGTGATCCAAGTAGACTTTTTGGTTATCAAGACCCTCATGGCATACAATGCAATATATAGTCGACCTTAGTTAAATGCTGATGTTACAAATAACACCCCAAATCTAGGTACCTAGATTTAGAATTATTATCGTTTAATTTCCTCTTAAAACTATGATTACGGAAAACCGATTATAAATTTTTCTTTAACATAAAAATATTAACGACTTTCACTTAAAGAAAGAATTCTAGAAAACTCTTATATTTAATAAAAATATAAGATGATCGAATAAAATGTTAGACTTATTTCAAACTGAGTTGGCATTAAATGTATCGGTACCGAATCCATCTTACCACAAGTAGTCGTCTCAAATAATCTTGCCTTCATATCTAAAATTGAGGAGGATAACATGGAATGAGCTAACGCTCAGTAAACAAACCTCATGCATATGATGCATGCTTATGATATACACATGAATTACTTTAAAATAAAAGGTATTTCTCAATATGTTTCCCCTTTCTTTCATTTATTTAAAAACTTAATTTTGACGTCATGAGCTCACTTGGTGTGTCACGTAGCCAATCAGAATGCAGTGGGCAATTATTATTTGGACCCCGGTCGAATCCCGCTGATAGTACCGTAAAGCAGTTAATATTAACATTATCATTGAATATTAAACATTGAACATTGGTCGGGTGCACCGGTCCCCAAGTTCCATTTTCCACTCACACATTTCATGACATAGACATGCACCTCATAACAAAACATTCGGAATACATATTTTTCTAAAATATTCATTAACTCAATGACATTTGAAAACTTTTATTTTTCTAGAAACATTGACGTGCATGAATATGTCATGAGAAGCATTGATGACATAAAATGTAATAATTAAATATGAAGTTCACATAATAACAAATTTTGGTAACACATTTATACATTTAACGATGTAATGTACGCATGAAGATAATGGGAGGTTTACTTACCTAGATTCCCTAGCAATTTATTTTAAGAATAGTACGTGAGGATGTCCCTAAATCGCCCATGGAGTCTCTGTGCCAAAAGTCCTACTTCATTAGCATTTATTTAGTCCAAACCATTGTCTTAATAAATTAAATAAGTTTATTATTTATTTACATTAAAACGCAAATTGTAAATAAAACTGTCAATAATTATCAAAAATAAAAGCGAGGTGTTTAAATAAAGGAAAACAATATTAAGAGGGTGTTTGATAGTCATTTTTATGTAAAAATGTATTTTAGAATAGTAAATTGATGTGAAATGCGTGGTTGAAAAATAAGGAAATTTTTTTTATTTACGTATAATATTATTTTAATAAAGAATGTGTGATTAAAAAGAAGAGAGAGAAAAATACATTTTGAAAAAAAATGACTATCAAACGGGGCCTAACTCATTAAGTATTTTCGAATTTATTAATATTGGTAAAATAAGTGATTAGAGAAAAGAAATTGTTGGAGGAAACCCTAATCAATTGCAATATGAATCACAGAATTAATTATGTCATGTTACGCCAACTTCATTTGAAAAATGTATCATTCAATAATTTAGACAAAGTGCATATAATGAACAGTTAGTTAGCATGAGCCCACCTAAAATACTATTTTTTCATTAGCTCACAAATGAAAATGTGGGATTCATATAGAATACTATGATATCATTAACACCTAAAAGAATAAAATCTTTGGATTTCATTTTGACTAGACATAAGAGGATTAAAGTAATATTATTAAAAGTTTCATCCATTTTATTATTCTTCCAACTTCGAGGGGATACATTCCAAAAGGTAATTAAGGATGATAAACTCGTACATGTAATAGAATCGATCCGTGTAAATAAAAGTAAGATCTCAAAACATGCTATAAACCTTTAAAGTTGGATTTGACAAAATTCATGAGATTTACTTTATCATAAAACATGAATTCTACTACAAAATGAATGCAAGATTGAAAAGTAATATTTTTTTTATTTAATACCTTAGAGTTTGCTCTTGATTCAAGGGCGATGAACCAAGCAGGTGAAAATAGAGGTATTCTTTTAGGTTTAATATCAATCAGTTTTGGAGGCATAAAAGAATTATTTTTTTTAACATTTAGGAACTCAATAATTTGGGCCCTGATTTTGCTAATTTAACTCGACCATATTAATTTACCCAATTCTTGCCAAATAAATACATAACGTAAAATAAATGAATTAAAACATAATCTACTCTAAATTTTACTAACATTATATGCATACTATAGTTAAGTTTAATATGTTGTGGATCGTCTAATGTGTCAAGGTACATTTTTCTGAAAATATATTAGTCCCAAGAAAAATAAATTTATTAATTAAGCATTAAATATGACATTAGAGTAAACATGATACTTATGTACAACGATAATGTAAAGGAATGTGTGGCGTTACACTATTCCTTCCACTTATCACCAAGTTATGAAATTCCCAATCAGTCATGGGGCTGGGTTTGTGAAGGGCGATCAACAATCTTCGAGATGGTTTTATGTTGACAGTATACAGGCAAGGGGATCACCACCAGTTTTGATGTTGGATCTTGAGCCTTCAAAGGGGCGAATCAAGCCCCTTGACATTACAGAAAAAATTTCCATAGTAGAAGGATGTGAATTCAGCATTGGAGCAGACTTGAAGTCGAAGAAAGAAAAGAGTTCGTGAAGTGTTTGTCCGAAAATTTGGATTTTTGGTGTGGAGCCCAAGTGATATTCCATGGATCAATGCATCAGTCGCTCAACATCGCCTTGGTATTTCACCGGGAGCAAAGCCAGTAAAACAGAAGAAAACAAATCTTGCCCAAGAGCGACAAGCTATAGCAAAAGCAGAAGTCAAAAAATTGTTGCATGTAAAGTTTGTTAGGGAAGTGCAGTATCCCAAATGGTTGGCAAATGTCGTCCTTGTGAAGAAATCGAATGGAAAAAGGCGTGTGTGTATAGATTACACTGGGTTGAACAAAGTGTGTCCCAAATATTTGTATCCGCTACCCAGAATAGATCACTAGGTGGATGCCACATCTGGTTAGGAACGACTAAGTTTTCTGGATGCCTTTTCTGGGTATCATCAAACCTCTACGGTCAAGTCAAACTAGAAAAAAAACATATTTCATAATTGACTCTAGGACGTATTGTTATACAGTTATACCACTCTATTTGAAAAATACTGGAGCAACTTATTAGAGAATGGTGAATAAGGTCTTTGGAGGTCTAATTGGGAATGTAATCGAAGCTTATGTTGATTATATGGTCGTTAAGAGTATTAAGACCAACGATCACGTAGCTGATCTACAAAAAGTGTATGATGTTGCCCAATGGAACACGCTGAAATTCAATCCCAAGAAGTGTATTTTTAGTACAGCAGGTGGAAAGTTTATGGGTTTTATGATCACTCGGCGAGGCATTGAAGCGAATCCCAATAAGATTCAAGCTATTCTAGAAATGAAATGTCCTATAAGCAAAAAGGAGGTCCAACGGTTGATAGGACAGGTAGCGGCATCAAATCGATTCATGAGTTGGGCAGCTGATAAGTACTACCACTTTTTCAAGGCAATTGGGGGCTCAAACAACTTTGAATGGACCAAGGAATGTGAGGAGTCCCTTGAATCCTTAAAGTAGTCGTTACAGTAGCCACCGATCTTGACTAAGTCATGTGCATGGGACGTGTTATGTTTATACTCAACGGTTTTAAAGCACGCGGTCAATGCGGTGCTGGTGAAAGAATTCCCAAAGGCACAAAAGTCAGTCTACTATGTTAGCCAAGCATTGAAAGGCTCAGAAATATGGTATGGCCCTGCAGAGCAATTGGTGTTTGCATTGATTGTGGTAGTCAGCAAGTTGAGGTTGTACTTTCATTCTCATACAGTACAGGTCATGACTGATCAACCCATCAAGCAGATTTTGCATCAACTTGAGACATTTGGAAGGATGTTAAAGTGGGTAATCGAGTTAAGTGATTTTGACATCGATTTCAAACTAAGAACAACTATTAAGACGCAAGCTTTAACAGACTTTATCGTGGAGCTTACAACATCGCCTGACTATCCCATTCGATAGGAAGACGTTTGGAAAATCTTTGTAGATGCTTCCCCACACAATAAAGGATCCGTAGCAGGCATCATTATGATAAGATCAGAATCTGAAGAGTTTAAGTATTCATTAAGCTTCCGGTTTCCGATAACAAATAATGACGTTTAGTATGAGGCAATAATCACGAGCCTAAGCTTGGCAATCAAATTAGGAGTGTCGTTAGTATAAATTTACGGTGACTCTCAGTTGATAGTTGGGTAGGTGACAGGAGAATTCGAAGCAACGGACGGAAAATTGGTAGCTTACTTGATGAAAGTTAGGGACTTGCGAAAAGGATTGGCGAGTTTCAAGATAACCAAGGTCCTCTGCAGGGATAACGACTGAGCAAAAGCTTTATCTAAGCTTGCATCCATAAACCTGAAAAATCTGCCTTTCACAACAAGTGTACAAGTCCTGCAACAGCTAAACATACTGGACATAACTAACATAGCGTACATAGAGCATAAGAAAAGTTGGATGGACCCTATAATCGATTATCTTGTGGAAGAGAAATTGCTAGAGGGTGTTTTTGAGGCTAGGAGACTAAAAATTCGAGTAGCTTTGTTCACTATTATTGATGGATAGCTCTACAAGCAGGGTTTCACCATGCTATACTTGATGTGCTTGCTCCCAATTGAGGCACGTGAAGTGTTATTGGAGATACGTGCAGGAATTTGCGATAACCATCAAGGGACGATTACCCTTACATTCAAGGCTTTGCGATAGGAGTATTATTGGCCTACTATGAATCATGATGCTAAAGAATTAGTGAGAAAGTATGATGCATGTCAGCGTCATGGGAATTATGATGCATGTGAATTTGATTCCAGTCGAGCAACATTCTGCCATTTCTGGGATATGTCCCTTCCTTCAATGGGGAATGGATATTTTAGGGCATTTACCTGGGGTCAAGGGGTAAAAAAAAGTTCTTGCTAGTGATTATCGATTATTTTACTAAATAGGTTGAGGCAAAACCTTTGGCCACAATCACAACGGCCAAAGTACGTAGTTTCACGTAGAGGAATATTATATGCAGGTTTGCCATACAAAGAGTTCTCATAACTAACAACGGCAGACAGTTTGACAATTATGTCTTCAAGGCCTTCTGTGCAAGTTATCACATAGACCACAGACTCACTTTCGTTGCTCACCTTCAATCCAATGGGCAAGCAGAAGTAACAAATCGAGCAATAGTGTAGGATATAAGGATAAGACTAGAGAAGGAAATGGGACTTTGAGCGACGAATTGCCTAATGTGGTGTGGGCATATTATACGACCACGCGAAAATCAACGGGAGAACACCTTTCAAACTATCTTTCAGGATAGAAGCCGTTGTCCCCGTGGAAGTCTTAAACGAAACTGGTAGGATAAAAGTCAAACAGCTCGGCATCGTAACTGCCAGCACAGAACTCAACTCACTTGATGGAGTAAAAAAGAAAGTAACTGTGAGGATGGCGACTTACAAGTGAAAGATCGTCGAATACTTTAATCGAAGGGTGAGACCAAGGGCTTTTCAGCCACGAGATCTTATGTTAAGGGAAGTAGCAGTAGCAGGGCACCTTCCATCCAAGCTCGGACCAAATTGGGAAGGATCGTACGAGGTGATTTACAGCCTTGGAAAATGAGCTTATAGCCTAAAAGACTTGAGAGGAAAGCCACTAGACATGCCATGGAATACTGAGCATCTCAAAAAGTACTATCAATAAGTTGATAGCCAGGGAATTCATATTAAATGAAGCTTTATGTAAATATAGTCGTTAAGATGATTTATTAGGTTTTTTAATATAATGGCAAATGTTTCTTGTAAATATAGTCACTAGGGTTTTCTGTCAGTTTCCTTAATGTACTGCTTGCTACAAGCACGTCCAATTCTAATTATTCATATCATTTAATGAAAGGCCTAGATGGCGGCAAATGATGAGGACACTAAGGAAGGGCCAGCCTAGTTGGGACATTCCGGTGCGCCTACTAATAACCAAATCCAGGCAAGTCATATGTCTACATGAGAGTTTGATAAATAGTGATTGAAGCATGGGCTACAAACTTCCCTTAAAGTTTCGAGGTTGTTCAACAAATAGCGATGAACAATAAAACCAAAAAGTTGATTAGTTCGAGATCGATCTACGGTATTATGGTAAGCTTTTAAAACCAAAAAAAGATTAAAGGGCGAAATCACCGAACCTCATACTCTATGCTCCTAAAGTGTTTGACAAATAGTGGTGAGCAATAAAACCAAAAAAATTGTTAGCTCAAAATCGCTCTACGGCTTGATGATAAGCTTCTAAAACAAAAAAAATGGTTAAAAGACGAAATTACCAGACCTTGTGCTCTACACTCCGAAAGTGTTTGTTGGATAGCGGTGAACAATAAAAGCAAAAAATTGGTTAGCTCAAAATTGCTCTATGATCTAATGGTAAGCTTCTAAAACAAAAAAAAGGTTAAAAGGCGAAATCACCGGACCTCATGCTCTACGCTCCGAAAGTGTTTGACGGATAGCAGTGAGCAACATAACCAAAAAATTGTTTAACTCAATCGTTCTACGGTCTGATGGTAAGCTTTTAAAATCAAAAAAATGGTTAAAGGGCAAAATTACCAAACCTTGTGCTCTACGTTCCAAAGGTGTTTGGCGGATAGCGATGAGTAACAAAACAAAAAAAATTAGTTAGCTCAAAATCGCTCTACAGTCTAGTGGTGAGCCTTCAGATTAAAAATGGTTAAGGTTCAAAATCGCTTCACCTTGTGCTCTATACTCCCAAATTGACCAACGAAAAATGGTAAGCAATAAAGCCAAAAATTAGTTATCTAAAAATCATTTCACGGCCAAATTGCGAGCTTTCAAAACCAAAAACAATTAAGACTTGTAAATATTAGACCTCAAACTCTGCAACACAAAAGTTTCTAAAAAACTGGTAGACAAGCACTAGACCAAACGACAGTCATAAGCTAAGAATCATCAATTGAAGTTGGAAAATTAAGGTTCGCTGTCTAAATTAGAAATTATGACAACTGCATAGAGGTTGGCTCATGTGCACGTAGACCATACCAGAAGATTCGTCGTGCTCTTGTTGGTCATCGCACCGTCGACTATTATGCTGTCAAAAAAATGGAGGGGAAAGAAAACTAAACGCATGATAAATAAAGTCATTTTCTAAAATGAAATCAACAATAATAGATGCTAAACATAACATCCTGTCCATATCCCAAACCAACTACAGAATGGTCAAAGACAAAAAGGGATAACAACGAAAAACGCAAGCAAATAAAGAAAAACTAAGTCACTATGGGTGCGAAATCCCTTCGTTTCCTCTCCGTGTAGCGTTGGTATGTTTGAACATCTTGGTTTACTTAGCTGATTTTTCCTTATCTCTACGTTGCGACAGAAATCGATCGTAGTTAGAGGGGTCAATAGATAGATGCTTGGAAGCCATCCATTCTTTAGTAAGAACGACAGAGGCAGCCATTGTTTTTATCCCATAGTCATTCATGTCCTTAACATACTCAAAGAGGCCTTGTATCGATCTACTACATGATTTGAGCACAAGCCAAGGAGGAGCGCAAGTTATTGATCTCCCTTTCTTGTTCACTAATTCGAGACTCCATCTCCTTATTCTGAGCCTTCGCGACATCGAGAGATTTCTTTAAGGCTAAGTTGTCCTCCTTGAAGTTGTTCACTTCCTTGTCCTTGTCTTCCTCGAAAGCTTTGAACTTAGCCGTAAGAAGGCGACTCGACCAAATAAGTGAAGCTTGCATCGTTAAAACTTGTCAAGCAAATAGGAAAAACAAAGTACAATTGTCATACTAACTCAGAGGTATGAAAATAAATGAAAATGAAGGAATAGAGCAGGAAGGATACCCTTCTGTTATAAATTGCTAGGACCCTCCCTACATCATCCACTCTGCATCTAAATAAAGCTCTAGCATGATCAGACATAATGAAATGATCGACCATATCAACTTCACTCACACCTCGGGTCAGAGGAGACCTAACATCTGGAAGTGGAGAACCATCACTCTCAAACTTGACCTAGTCAGGACTCAAGTTTCTCTCTCCTACTTTATACGGTGGGACGCTTCCCGTGGGCTCTCCAATGGTCGAGGAGATCTTCTGTCAGTTTTTTCCTTTTCTCTTACCCACAACTTTTCTCTTTTTGGAGGGGGGGTATTAGGTTTTTTAATATAATGGCAAATGTTTCTTGTAAATATAGTCACTAGGGTTTTCTATCAGTTTCCTTAATGTACTGCTTGCTACAAGCACGTCCAATTCTAATTATTCATATCATTTAATGAAAGGCCTAGATGGCGGCAAATGATGAGGACACTAAGGAAGGGCCAGCCTAGTTGGGACATTCCGGTGCGCCTACTAATCCCCAAATCCAGGCAAGTCATATGTCTACATGAGAGTTTGATAAATAGTGATTGAAGCATGGGCTACAAACTTCCCTTAAAGTTTCGAGGTTGTTCAACAAATAGCGATGAACAATAAAACCAAAAAGTTGATTAGTTCGAGATCGATCTACGGTATTATGGTAAGCTTTTAAAACCAAAAAAAGATTAAAGGGCGAAATCACCGAACCTCATACTCTATGCTCCTAAAGTGTTTGACAAATAGTGGTGAGCAATAAAACCAAAAAAATTGTTAGCTCAAAATCGCTCTACGGCTTGATGATAAGCTTCTAAAACAAAAAAAATGGTTAAAAGACAAAATTACCAGACCTTGTGCTCTACACTCCGAAAGTGTTTGTTGGATAGCGGTGAACAATAAAAGCAAAAAATTGGTTAGCTCAAAATTGCTCTATGATCTAATGGTAAGCTTCTAAAACAAAAAAAAGGTTAAAAGGCGAAATCACCGGACCTCATGCTCTACGCTCCGAAAGTGTTTGACGGATAGCAGTGAGCAACATAACCAAAAAATTGTTTAACTCAATCGTTCTACGGTCTGATGGTAAGCTTTTAAAATCAAAAAAATGGTTAAAGGGCAAAATTACCAAACCTTGTGCTCTACGTTCCAAAGGTGTTTGGCGGATAGCGATGAGTAACAAAACAAAAAAAATTAGTTAGCTCAAAATCACTCTACAGTCTAGTGGTGAGCCTTCAGATTAAAAATGGTTAAGGTTCAAAATCGCTTCACCTTGTGCTCTATACTCCCAAATTGACCAACGAAAAATGGTAAGCAATAAAGCCAAAAATTAGTTATCTAAAAATCATTTCACGGCCAAATTGCGAGCTTTCAAAACCAAAAACAATTAAGACTTGTAAATATTAGACCTCAAACTCTGCAACACAAAAGTTTCTAAAAAACTGGTAGACAAGCACTAGACCAAACGACAGTCATAAGCTAAGAATCATCAATTGAAGTTGGAAAATTAAGGTTCGCTGTCTAAATTAGAAATTATGACAACTGCATAGAGGTTGGCTCATGTGCACGTAGACCATACCAGAAGATTCGTCGTGCTCTTGTTGGTCATCGCACCGTCGACTATTATGCTGTCAAAAAAATGGAGGGGAAAGAAAACTAAACGCATGATAAATAAAGTCATTTTCTAAAATGAAATCAACAATAATAGATGCTAAACATAACATCCTGTCCATATCCCAAACCAACTACAGAATGGTCAAAGACAAAAAGGGATAACAACGAAAAACGCAAGCAAATAAAGAAAAACTAAGTCACTATGGGTGCGAAATCCCTTCGTTTCCTCTCCGTGTAGCGTTGGTATGTTTGAAC